TTATGCTAAAATACCAGAAAAATAATATAATTATTAATATATATTAATATATATATATATATATATATAATAATCATATTAAATTTGTATAAAAAAAATGTTTTTCATTAGTTGATAGTGTATTTTTTTTAATATTGAAAACTTATTTAGCTAGGGCTAGTCTTGAGTTTTATGATATCTTGGACAAAGTTAAAAACATAAAAGTATAAATATACAAAAAGTTAAAAACATATTTGTATAAAAAAGGACTAAATGTATAATACATTTATACGGGATTATATTATTGTTATAAACTATTATGTAAATGAAAAACGAATCAATAATGATGACACATCATAAAGAAGTTCGTGAAGGAAGAGGTGTGAAATTATAATTTGATTTCGAAATTTCATCAAAGTAATATAGTTTGAAATTTAAAAAATAGAAAATAAATTATAGATAAAGGAAAAATAAAATAAAATAAAATTAAAAGAAACTCTTATTTATGATTTTGTGTTATTAGTTATTGAAGTTCACATCAAGAAAGAAAGAAAAAAGGAAAATAAGTCAATAATATATCACACTTTTCTCTTTATATATGTTATTACTATTTTTTAAAAGTTATTGGTAAATTTTTGTTAACTAATAGAAAAATTGATTAATTATTCGTAATTATTTTGTTTTCTTTAATAAATTTTTAAAAATTTAATCATGTAACTTTTTATATTATACATATTAAATAATATTTTTTTCTCCTCTAACAATGCAATCCTATGTGACCATCCCACTAGTTCGTACTTAGAACAGTCACTATATTTAATAGTCACAACTTGATAGAAATGAAATAAAATATGAGAGTAGAATAAGAATATATTTAAAAAATAATAATAATAAGAACGTGATAGGATAAATAACTATAAAAAAATTTCATGCACCTCTTATATCATTATTGTGTTATTTGTGATATGAACCAAGTAAAATTTAAAATATAAATTATATTTAAATAACAAAATTATTACATGTCAATATACTTCATATTACATGTCAAGAGTATTATAAATTTTAACATCCCAATATACTTCATATTACATCTCTATTATAAACATATATTAAATAATATGTTGAATACAAATTTTGTATAATACGATAAGGGAATAAATGTGTTGAATTGAGTTTAATTTAAATGGATTTGTTATCTAATTCAATTAAAATTTAATAGATTGAATTAGATTTATACATATTTTATTTTGAAATCCAACTCAATCTAACCTGATCATGAGTGAGTTAGATTGAGTTAAGCTGATCAACATAATTAAATTTATTTATTTATTTTTATAAAAATTTAAATATTTTTAAATATATATAAATTATTTGATATCTTATTACAAATTCAATATTATCGACTCATAATATAAATGATGATACAAACTATATCTTAAAATAAATTTATTATTTTACTACATTGTTATCGATTTAAATAACTAAAATGAAATTGAAAATTGTAAATTAATATTATTAACTAATTTCTTTATTTTTACTGAATTACTAATTAGTCTATTTATAAGAAATGAATGATAATGCAAAATATATGGTCATTTCTTTCTTTTATCATAATAACACGAAGATGTAATTAATTGGATGTTAATAGAAGTCATATATAGAGATTACGTAGCATTTAACTGTTTACATTTGGTAGCTCAAGGTACATCGTAACATGTCTTTGACGTGCCTTAGGGGAAGTAGGTAAGCCAAGTGCTGCCTCACTTTTAACTTATTATTATACCGCTACGTGCATTAGGTTGCTTTATCTCACGTTCCTATTATTAATTTATGTAGGTTCTTAAGTTTGCATAAGTCAAGTAATTTTAATGATCCAACTGTTACCGTCAATTAATTCCTTTTCCAAATATGCTTAAAATCAAGTGGATTGTCATTTTAATTTCTTTAAGACTCGTCTTCCGTCGGCAAAAAATAAATCTAAAATACGTCAAAAAAAATATAGAAGAAGCAATATTATCTGAGTATTTATGTGTAATTTGAATACGATTCGGATGCGTTGTCCGTTTTCATTTTAAACTATTTGTGTACTTCAATTGTCCAAACTGGGTGCTCGTGAATTATGAAACCCCTCAAAATCCAAAAGTAGTTCAAATAAGGACCTTTTGGGTCATACGATATAACACATCATGATGGGGATCTTAGTGGATTTATCCATATTTGGGCTCTTAAATATGCACAACCCTACTCCTTTGCTCTTTCTTCCAATTCCTTTGGACCTTCCTTGGGTCCAAGACTATTTTCTTTATCTCAAATCCCAATCATAAAAAAATTATCACTTTATCTTATAATAAGTGTTGCATTAGAAATGATTGCACAATAGTAAGATCTAAAAATAAGAAATTGCGTCCCTGAATTGTGGTTCTATTATGTAATCTAACAGTTAATTTTTGAACGCTTTTATCTAAAGGTTATAAAAGAGTCTCACACGATGACAAATATTGGTCACTAGCTTGCGTCGATATTTTAAACACTCTTT